CTGGGGTCCAGCATTCTCGCTGTGTCTGTCATTCAGTAGATGTTGCTGGTAAAAGTAAAGAATGAAGAGAAGGGATGTTGAGGAAGCTAATGCAGATATAGCTACTTAAAAACTGTCACCTGGGGTCAAACCAAGAGTTAAACAGACCAGTGTTCTGGCTCTGACAGAAGTACCAGTGAGTTTTCCGGAAATAGAGACAGAGTTACAACATGTAATGCTGGAAAGTTCATTTAAGGTCATTAAGGTCGCTCTCGATTTATAGGGCCCAGAGAGAGAGAGAGAGAACAGATTCCATAGGTCCCACAGCTCAGCAAAACAGAATGGGGCTGCTCGACATCAAACTCCACTGCTTTTATACTTTCACTCTGCTGCCCCCTGAAGGAAAACGGGAATGTTTTCCAGAAGCTACTCCAGTCCCTTAGAAACACGTTAGGACCTCAGCATCTGTGATTAGTTTTAACATTCTTCTTTACCAGTTTATGTTCTCAATATTCTTAGAGACAAAAAATAACCTGAATTGACAGCTATCATGAAAAATCATCTAAAATTTGTGATGGTCTCTCTGTCTGAAAGTGTACCCTTATATTGAACACAAGTCAACCTTGGGTACACTGTCTCTCTTTAAAATGTAGTAGAGATCAGAATGCAACACTATTTGGTTTTAAAGACAAATTTCTTCTCATCATATTCTTCTATCAGCCGCCTCCAATCGAAACCAGAACTGTCTCTTAGCTTTCATCTTGCCCTTCTGTTTATATCAAACAGTGTGTTGCTCTTAGGACCAGTCTCCATAGCACCTCATTCTCTCTCCTAGAACATGGTTATCTACTCAGCAAATACTATGTCATGCACATTTGTTAAGAAACATATTTTAGCTTCTGTTATAAACAAAGAATCTCCCCTTTTTCTTTCTAGAAATCTTTATTGAGTACTTTAAAGAACTTCCATAATCCCTAACTTTGAATCGCTCCTAGGAATTGTGGAAATGAAACACACAAAGCATTTTATCTGAGATTTGAAATGTTCAATATGCAAATCTCAGGGTTTCCTATTAGGACAGGCCTCTGCAGTTGGACTGGTGTGGACGTACTAACTGCTCAGTTTATTATGCAGTGATTTATAGACCTCTAGTGGGTCTTTAATGTAACGATTAAAGGGAAGCCAAGGTCATTGAGGTATGGCTTTGTTCTTTTGTTTGTTCCTTTCTTAGTTCATTCATTCATTCATTCATTCATTCAGTGTACAAATGACAATTGAGTGTCTACTTATATTCCAGGCACGTTTTGGAGATTTTGCAGTGAACCAAATAAACAACAACAAAATCAAATGCCTTTGTCACTTAAGACAAAGAAGACAGTGAGTGGAACAAATATGGGGCAAAGATCAGGAGCTTAATTTTGAACATGTTAAGTTGGAGATACCCATTAGTCTCCCAACTAGCTTCTTTTCAAAATTTGTTGGTGCCTTTGGGAACATTATAGAGCACTGACAAGGAGAAAACATGGACATAGGGCAGATAATCTCTTGATTGGGACTTCACCACGTTTGAATTAAAACTGACAACATGAAAAAGTCTGTGAAGACAATAGATTTGAGAGAGAAGATCAAGCCTTGACCCGATTCTCAGGAACTGCTCAGCTCTTAGTTCTCTGTTTAACTGTAATCTCAGTTTCTGTCTCGATTCTTTGTTTTCTTCGTTCTGACCACAGTTGGTAATGGTTGAATTTCTCCTTACATGATGTACACAAGTGTATCTACCTCCTTCACCTCCAGGCCTGCATGTGAGCCCTACTCAATAGGGTATCTTCAGTACCTGGCAGGGTCTCAATTTATATTTGCTGAAGGATGAGTTTTGTTGTAATAGGTCAGATAAGATAGATATACGTGAGAAGCTAGTGATATAGGCTAGTGTATGGCATATCCTAAATGAATAGAAAGCACAGTTAATTCCTCTTTTAGGAGACCACAGTGGGTTGCAGGCAGTCAGGGAAATTTTCAGGGAAGAAACTAGAAGTGAGCTGAATATTTAAAAATTGGTGGAAAATGGGGCACCTGGGTGGCTTAGTCGGTTAAGCGTCCGACTTTTGCTTGGGTCATGGTCTCGCAGTTCGTGGGTTTGAGCCCCACGTCAGGCTCTGTGCTGGCTGCCAGCTCAGAGCCTGGAGCCTGTTTCTGAGTCTGTGTCTCCCTCTCTCTCTGACCCTCCCCTGCTCATGCTGTCTCTCTCTCTCCTAGAAATAAATAAGAATATTAAAAAAAAAATTGGTGGAAAATGAAGGAAGGAGAGAGGAAGTGATGGGGGAAGGGATGTTTCTTGTAAAGGGCTCCTGAATGACCTCCATATGCTCCTCTGCCTCTACTGTCTCTGCTCTAGCGTCCAGCGGGCTCTGCTGGGGTGTCCTGCCCCTAACTCAATTACCTGGGTGATCTTCACGGGAGGGACAGTGTTGCAGAGACCTGCCCACACCCGCTTTCCACCTGTCCACCCTCCCCTGTCTCTTCTTTAATGAACCCTTAGCATATCGATGCCTATCATTATGCCTGGCTCGTAGTTAAGTGAATGAACATATGTGTCTAGAGGCCCCTCTCCCTATTCCTGGGATAGACTTTTCCCAATATTCTCTGCCATCGGGCGGGGGCATTTGAAACATGAGTACTTCAGGGCTGACTCCAAATCCGTGCATGATTATTAATAAGCTACTTTCTCATACTTTCATTTAACAAAGATTTGTTGCATGCCTCCGGGATTTATGTTGGCTACAAGGAGCTTAGAGCTGAGTTACTGTGAGACCCATGTAAACAAATAATAATAAAGTAAGTGTTGATTTATGTACAAAGTGATCTGTGAACATGGTAGGTGGAGAAATTGCTTGTTTTAGCACACTAGAAGAAGCTTCCTAGAAAATAGGGAAGAAAGTAGGCATTGAATATTGAGAGACAAGTCACGTCCTCTGGACAGACATGGGGGGTGGCAGAGTAGTTAAGGGAGTAGGTTGGACAGTATTCTAGGCAAATGGTATAACAAGTACAAAGGTGATTGTGGTGGTGGTGGTGGTAGTGGTGGTGGTAGTTGAGAAAGCATGCCAGGTTTGGGGAATTGGGGCAAAGCATGTGAGCAGAAGTGTGGCCAGGGAGAAGGTGCAGGACTGGATTTGGGGCATTCTAGCCAAAGAGACCATGGACGTCAAGCTTTAAGAGGTACTAAAATAAAAAAAAAAAATTCAATGCCAATTAACCCAGCCACTTGTATCTCCTTACATAACTTCTGAAACCTGAATTGGCCTTATTCCCTTGAGGTAAGGCAGTGTCCTTGAATGTTACTTTAAAAATTCTTCTGGCTGGCAATTCCAATTATGCTATATTCAGTGCATGTAATAAATTCCTTATTTTTAACATAAAGAGGTTTGTAATTTTTATTAATAGAAAAGCAAGTTCCTTTCAATTCCATGCTGAACAGATATTTAAAGAACATTGACCTATTTATGCACTGCCAAATTATTAGCCTTCTGGTAATGGGCTCCATCCAGGGTTGCCCCCCCCCATCCCAGGTAAAAATGGAACTGTTCCATCTGACTGGGTGAGCTGGGTGCCCAGAAGAGGCTATGTCTAATGCTGTATTGTCAATTAATTTTGTGTTTGGCACCTCATATATTTAGCAGCCTTTCTAATAAAAATTTTTTTCATAAGAGTTTTTTTCATGATTTTTCTTTTTTTTTTTTTAATATTTTTATTTATTTCTAGGAGAGAGAGAGAGAGAGACAGCGTGAGCAGGGGAGGGTCAGAGAGAGAGGGAGACACAGACTCTGAAATAGGCTCCAGACTCTGAGCTGGCAGTCAGCACAGAGCCCGACGCGGGGCTCGAACCCACGAACCGCGAGATCATGACCCAAGCGAAAGTCGGACGCTCAACCAACTAAGCCACCCAGGCGCCCCTATTTTTCTTTTTGAGAGAGTGTGTGTTCATGAGGGAGGGGCAAAGAGAGACAGAAAGGGAGTCATAGAATCCAAAGCAGGCTCCAGGCTGTCAGAACAAAGCCTGAAGCTGGGGTTTAAACTCACAAACCCTGAGATCAGGACCAGAGCCAAAGTCAGATGCTTAACCCGCTGAGCGACCCACGGGCCCCTTTCGTAGGAGTCTTAAAGGTAAACTCAACTAGCTCTGCCTTAGAGCCACCGTGTTCTCCTGGGTATTTTAGGACTTCCGTATTCTGTATTGAGGTTTTGCACCCATCCTGAGATATTGCACACATCCTGTGCTTGCTAAACAGGACTCTAAATTTTGTGTTAAAAAAGATGATGATTACAACCTAAAGTCACGTGTAAGCTTTAAATCATGTCTATGAGTATCCACTGTTTTTAAGCTGATCGGTCTCTTTCAACTGTTAGACCTAAAAGAGATCATCTAACTTTTCTGTACTTCCCCTTCCTCATGGGAATGAACACGAATTCCTGCATTATAGGTTTGTGTTGAGGAATAAACGAGACAACCCACGTAAAGTGGCTGGCACGGTCCCCAGCCATAATCTGGCCTTCGTTCGCACATCCTGCGGAGCGGTTCTGTGCTTTTCATCTCGAGTCTCAGCTCCCACGAAGTCTTCAGTGTGACCTCGCCTAGGCTCGGGGTTAAGGGACCCAAGGGGAGGGCATGTGCACAGAACAGTGGGTAGTGTGAGGGGGAAGAGTGCAAAGATCAGAAGGCAGTTGGTAGTAGCAGCGGCGAAGAAGTCTCTGGACTTCGGTTACCTGGGCGAGCTCTGCCGGAAGGACGGAGTTGGGGAGACCCGGGCCGACCCGCTTTCCACTTCCGCCCTGCCTTCGGTTTAGCTCCGCCCATTTCCTCCTCGAAGGGGGAGAGCTGACGCGGACCCCGACGCTGTCCGCGGTTGCCAACGACTAGCTTTTCCCAAGATGCCTAAGTTGTTGTGTTCTTTTAGCCAATCAGAGAGGCGAAGCGGCCTCGCCGCGGGCCAATAGGCTGCCAGGCCAGGGCCCGCGTCGGTTAAACCGGGCTGGAGATTGGAGTGGCCAGCTAGGTTGTGTGGCTAGGACGCGTCTCCGAGTCGGCGGAGAGACCTGCAGGAGACCTACGGCGACATCCGGCGGGCCCGGCCATGCCGACTCGGGCGGAGGACTACGAGGTGCTGTCCACCATTGGCACGGGCTCCTACGGCCGCTGCCAGAAGATCCGGAGGAGGAGCGACGGCAAGGTGAGTGCGAGCAGCCTCGCTGTCTCCGCCCCTGCTGCGGTTGCACCTGCCTGCGGCGGGCGCCCTTGGCCCCGGGGTGGCGGCAGAGCGAGAGGCCTGGGGCTGTGGGTCTCCAAGGCGGGGTGCCGGGAAGAATCCATCTCCTCCAGGTCTGTGTCTGTCCTGGGTCGCTCAAGGGCTGGGAGACTGTGTTTTGAGATGTATCTATGTATCTATCTCTGGTTTTTTTCTTTCTCTTTCCTGCTTTGACTTGCTAAGCCCCCCCCCCCTCCCCCGTTAGTGACAGGTGGCTGAGTCCCTAGCTCTATTCAGAGAAGAGTAGACCTTTCTGACATGGGAAAAAGGCAGGACCCCCAGAACCTGGAGATTTTGCCTTGCAGTCAGAACTCACTCAAATACCCATTATTTGGATTATTGGATTTTTATTTTCCAGTGTGTGTAAGTAGACCTTACACAGGAAGAAATAATGGAGAGGAAACTGCCCGGCTGCTGATGGAAGGATCTTTACTAAGGTCTCTCACCCTGGGAAAGTTTGACTGGTTAGACAGTTGGAATGATCAGGGACTTTGATTCCCTCTGCTCCTGCTTTGACCCAAGTACCTTTTGCCACCGTGCCCCAAAGTAACTGAGCCTAGGGGGTTGGAGGAAGTCTAATGGGACTCCTCCTGTCTCCCATTGCATCATTTACCCCTCGAAGACTAGGGGAAGATTATGGAAATAAACTCAGGGGTTCTTAAGTTCATTGAACTAAATTAGATGGTAATGATCGTTGTGATCTATTAGAGAAGTAACTTTTAAAAGTTTTAAAATTTGGAACGTTCCTTCTTTGTCTTTGACTATGTAATGAGTTCATTTGTACCTTGGAAATTCTGACTTCAGATATTAGTTTGGAAAGAACTTGACTATGGCTCCATGACAGAAGCTGAGAAACAGATGCTTGTTTCTGAAGTGAATTTACTCCGTGAACTGAAACATCCAAACATCGTACGTTACTATGATCGAATTATCGACCGAACCAACACAACACTGTACATTGTAATGGAATATTGCGAAGGAGGGGACCTGGCCAGTGTAATTACAAAGGGAACCAAGGAAAGGTAAATTCATCTTTTAATTGTAAGCTGAAAATGGGCCAAGTTTCACTTCTGTTAAGCATCCTCGCTTAGGATTGGGGACGTAGTAAGAAATGTGGAAGACTGGGGTGGCGCCTGGGTTGCTTAGTCGGTTAAGCGTCCGACTTTCGCTTAGGTCATGATCTAGCGGTTCGTGGGTTCGAGCCCCGCGTCGGGCTCTGTGCTGACTGCCAGCTCAGAGCCTGGAGCCTGTTTCAGAGTCTGTGACTCCCTCTCTCTCTGACCCTCCCCTGCTCACGCTGTCTCTCTCTCTCTCTCCTAGAAAGTAAAAAAAAAAATGTGGAAGACTGTTCTTGTATTTGTTCCAAGAGTCCACAGCACTTTAGAAAATCCCTGATGAATCAACACCCTTACCTCATCTTGAAAATAATAATTTATTTCCCTATTTGAACACCTTGAAAACTAGATACTTCACATTATCCCATCTTTTTAATGTGTGTATTCAGAAGTTATATGCTGCATAACTGCTTTGGTTTCAGACAATACTTAGATGAAGAATTTGTTCTTCGAGTGATGACTCAGTTGACTCTGGCCCTAAAGGAATGTCACAGGCGAAGCGATGGTGGTCATACCGTGCTGCATCGGGACCTGAAACCAGCCAACGTTTTCCTGGATGGCAAGCAAAACGTTAAGCTCGGAGATTTTGGGCTAGCTAGAATATTAAACCATGATACGAGTTTTGCAAAAACGTTTGTTGGCACACCCTATTACATGTCTCCTGTAAGTATTTCAGAACTTATATACTTTTTAAACATCCTAACGCTAAGCATTCAGTGGCAGGAAATTGAGGTTTTTATTTGTTTGCTTAGTAATTCTTACAGTAGTCAAGAATTAATACTGTTCACTTAAAATTTATATATATATTTTTTTCAAATGGAACATCAAGCCCTTAAACTCCTCTATATCAGCAATTAAAGTGAAGCTTTTATTGAATGGCCACCATGTGCCAAGTTCTGGGATTACAAAGATGAAATAGGTTTTGTCTCTGTTCTCAAGAGCAATGTTTTCCAAAGTGCCATGGGCCCTATATGCCACCTGGGACTCATTTAGAGTGTTTGTTTAAGATGCAGAGCCCTGGGCCCCACCCCCAGATCCAATGACTCTGGATCTCTGGGTCTCTGGACCAGTTCTTGAACTCTGTGCTTTTTTTTTCCTTCCATTTTTCATTTTGAACATTGCTTTTTAATAGACTGTCTAGATGATCCCTGTGTGTGGAGATTCAGGGCTTCTTTCAGATAATGTTTTTACAGTGTTGGCTTTTCCTACTTGTTCTTTTTTTTGGTTGCCTCTTCTCGCAGTGGGGCTGCAGTGAATCGACTTTACTTATCCCTTCTCTCTGTTGCTGGATATTTTGTTTCTAGAATTTCTTACCATTCTTAGGAGCGCTGCTCTGCACACCTTTGAATGCATTCATTATTCTTTCTTCCCTTTTGGTTATTTCCTTGGCGTGTAGCTCTCAGAAAGGTATGAACTAGGTCAAAGGGTATGAACTGTTTATGACTCTAGATATTATCTGATGTCTGTTAAAAGCTTGAAGCAGTAAGAGCTATCACTAACGCGTTGTTTTTGAATAAGATTAGACATTGCCTGAAGAGTGTCATTTTCACACTGGATCAGATTCCAAATAGAAAGACTTCAACATAAAGGAAAATTACCCAGAAGTGGTTCTTGAAAAATCTGAAACCTTTGTAATTCTCTTGTTCCTTTTCCCTCCTGCCCTTGTAATTAGATCAGTTCAGCCTTCCCTAAGGCACTGATTGTCAGGAAGTGGTATCAGACCACCTGGTGGAGTTTAGAACACCAAGAAGCTTCCTGAAGGTTTTGGTACTACTTCTGTGCCCATTGTTGAGAATAAGAACTATGGTAGACTAATACTGTAAGTGTGGAAGAAAGGAAAATAATTAAAATAGGAAATGAGAATATTAGTTAATACTGTGATTTATACTGTGGACTAAGAAAAATATATAAATGGATAATTCAGTTAGCCAATATGTCTATATCCATTTAAATGTGTGCCAGATATATGTTTTGATTATTCTGAAATTTTCTCTGTTTTTTTTTTTTTTTGCTCTGGTTTGTTCAAAATGGAGTTTCTACATTATGAATGGCTTGAGGGTAAAGGTCTCATATTCACCTTTGAATTATCAGCACCTGATCTATTGTAACATGATAACATTTGTGAATGAAAACTAAGTGAATGGATTATTTGTGGCAGTATATTAGGATAAGATCATTGCCTTCTTTCCATTATAAATTTGGAGATAAAATATAAAGTACCATCTTTGTTACTGTGACATAAGATCTGACATAAACTGGATCCGTCTTTTGTATCTGATATTTTTGTTATGGATATAAAATATTAGTAATTTAAAATGTTTTCCTTTTTTTCTTTTTTCTTCTCTGGGTCAGTATTACCAAATGTTAAGTTTCCGTTTTCGTTTCAGGTCATTTTGTAAGTTTTAAGACAGAATGAACTTTTAACTCCTCCTACGTTTGTATGCTTTTCTCCCCCTTTAGGAGCAGATGAATCGCATGTCCTACAACGAGAAATCTGATATCTGGTCGCTGGGTTGTTTGCTGTATGAATTGTGTGCGTTAATGTAAGTCAGCAAAAAACAGCCTTCTGGTGTGAAGTGTACTCTCCCAGAGGTTTGTCCCCTTTCACTGGGTCTAGCTTTTTGAGCATCCATGCATATTCGAGCCTGAAAGAATCATACGTTGGGTTAAAATGAAGATAGATAGATGGGTTAAAAATTTATTTGCAAATTAATTGCAAGGTCCCACTTGCAAAGAGGCTGGGTCCCACTTTAACCCGGTAAGATGCTTCCCTTGCTAGACTGATGCTTAGCTCATGGGGAGAGCACATCGGCCAGGCTTGTGGAAGAAATGAAACAAAAATCCAGGGTAGAGGTCTGGGCATCTGGAGAACTAGGAAGAGCTCCCATTCTTTGCCTTTTTTCCCCTTCTAAACTAATCTGTGGAGCAGTGGTTCTCAGCCAGGGAGTGGGAAACAGTTTGTTTTCCATGGGACATTTGACAATGCCTGGAGACACTTTGGGATGTCACAGCTAGGGAGAGCTCTGGCGTCTTGCGAACAGAAGCCAGCAATGCCACAAAACAAACCACATGCACAGGACAGCCTTCCTGACAAACATCACATGACCCTGAATGTCAGGAATGCCAAGGTTGGGCACCTTAGCTGGGGAAGACAATCCCAGGAGAAACATGAACACCAGCTGAGCTTAAACTGTGCTTTTGATTTGGCTCCTGTTATATATTTTCATTTCTACATTAAAAAACATTTTTCCCCAGGCCTCCGTTTACAGCTTTCAACCAGAAAGAACTAGCTGGGAAGATTAGAGAAGGCAAATTCAGGCGAATTCCATATCGTTACTCTGATGAATTGAATGACATTATTACAAGGATGTTAAATTTAAAGGTAAAGAGTGTAAGATTACATTGTCTACTTCTGTCTCTCAGTTTCTTGAAGCAACGCGACTATAGAAGCATTAGCTATAGTTCCTCAGCTAAGTCTACTCCGTTAACAGAAGCGAAAACATGGAAATTTGGCAAATTGTGCATCCTTGCTGGCCTACCTTCTGTGCTTTGTGCCTCCTCCCTCTCTCTGCCACGCTAACAGATGGCTGCTAGCGAAGCAGGATTGCAGAAAAGCTCCAAATCCTTAGTTCCCTACCTCAAAGTGGCAGGTGGCAAGGGAGGGGGCCTCAAATAGGACTTCATTACCCAGCCTCTCGCTCCAGCCGAGAGATTAGAGACCAGAGATGGAGTGGGGGAGGGGCAATAAGTAAAGAGTTAAGTGGAAACAACCTGGTCCTGGGATGGGGAGGAAGATGTCCTAGGGTCAGGTTGATGTAAGAGCAGGAGTTAAATGCTGTGGAATTACCAAGAAGGATAATGGTGAAATAGTAGGACTGCAGGTCGGTAAGAGAGGGCGTTGCTTAAAATAGTTTTGAGATACAAGGGCAGCGGTACTTGTCCTAAGGCAGACCTAGCAGTGCCACCACGCACCAGCTCAGGGATGGACAGGTTAGGGGGAAACAAAGGTTAGTTAACATCTGCATAACCTTGTGGACCCAGAACTTCATGGGTTAAAGCCACAAGTGAACTTAACCTTTCCAGGCATTTAAGACCCATCCATAAAGTCCTTTCTTTTGTCTTGGAAATGTATGCTGTCTTTAATGTACCTGTTCTTTTTGGATGAGTATTCTGCTCTGAAATACAACACTGACTGCAAAACTGAACGTTGTTTCCCTCAGGATTACCATCGACCTTCTGTTGAAGAAATTCTTGAGAATCCATTGATAGCAGACTTGGTTGCAGAAGAGCAAAGAAGAAATCCTGAGAGAAGAGGGCGGCAAGTGGAACCGGAGAAGTTACAGGATTCCAGCCCCATCTTGGGGGAGCTGAAACTGAAGGAAATACAGTTACAGGAGCGAGAGCGAGCCCTGAAGGCCCGGGAAGAACGGCTGGAGCGTAAGTCTGAATGGGGACAAAGACGGGGAGCACTACAGAGGGCTATTCTGATGTGTGTAAAATCTCTCTGAACAGAGTATTTGATACATGGATGTCCTATTAGAACATTCTTATAAATACTTGAGGCCCCAAAATATGTATTGTAAAATAGTAAATGAAGCTCGCTGCCACTTCCCTGTTGAGCCTCTTTCTCTTAGATCGATGGCTCTCATATTGTTGGTCGCTAACTGTGATGACCCTGACCCTATAGTCATTATACTTAACTGTGGAGCTACTTTTTCTTTCTCTTCCTTAATATATTTATACCCTAAATTGTTTTCATTGGAAAAGAGGATTGGAGCATTTGCTGCCTTCCATGATAAAAACCATGCCTTCTGTCTCCTGATATGGCCGGCCCAGCATAGCCCAAGTGTAAAACCCTATTGTGTGTGGGACTAGATATGTTCGGGCAATTCAGTAAAGTGTGTGAGTGAAGATGTTCTAGGTCTGTAAATAGTCTGGGCATTAACTGATTAGGTACTCATCAGTTTTTGACGTTGAAAGTCTGTCTATTCCATTAAAGTAAGAGCTGCTACCCAGGATGTAAATTAAGCAAGGTAGCTACAGCGGCGAGGCTCTTCATGTTAACATTAAGGGACAAGAGATGGATCGTGACCGTCTCCTGCCACCCTCATGGCTCACTTGGTTTTGCTTCTGCTGCTTTATGCACAATGCAGGTGATAGATACCTTTCTATTTAAATGAACGTAAAAAGCATCCCATACATGCATTCATGGTTTTACTTCCTGATGACAATTATATAGTGCTGTGAGACCTGCTTTCTGTAGGAGTATAACCGCCACTTACCCAGAAACCTTTTTTTGATGCTTCTGTCGAAAGAATTTGTAAAACAAGCAAAAACTTTTTTTAAAGCTTTTCCCAATGTTTTGTAGTTTCCTATAACCAATGAAATTTGAACTTTCTGAATTCTGGGGCATGAATTAAAAAATAGCCTTTGTTACTGATCTAAAGAAGTACCTCCTAACAGAGTTGTGGGGTTTTTTCCACTTCTATTTGGGTGCTGTCATTGACCCAGAAGAAGGAGGGTTCTGTGAGGCTCGGTAATGCCCAAAAAGGGGACTGTTGCCTGTTTTCAGTGCAGAATGGAGATGGCTTTCATTGTTTCTTTTCCCAAATGAGTTCTTCCCAGACAACATGACTAAAGGTTGACACTGACCTTGTATTTGTGCTTAAACCAGTCCTTACGGGAAAGCCTAAGACAGCACACATCATACTAAAATGCTGACTCAAAACCTAGCACAGTAGGTTGGCCGGGCACCTTTCGCAGTGCCAGGCAGGCATGCTAGTCTTCGTGACGAGGAAAAGAGAGAGGATTGCGAAGTGTGAATCGTCTTAAACCCATAGCCTCTCATTAATATCTTTCTTGTTCCATTGCTTTTCTAAAGAGAAGGAATTTGAGCTGTGTGTCCGGGAGAGACTGGCAGACAACAAGCTGGCCAGAGCAGAAAGTGTGTTGAAGAATTACAGCCTGCTGAAGGAGCAGAGGTTCCGGAGTCTGGCAGCGGGTCCAGGTATGAGAATTTGCTCTGCAAACAAGCTGCCACCACAGATGAAGAAATGGTACCCGTCTCGCTGCCTTGGGGCTTCGGTGGCCCTTTTAATTTACGCAGTCTCATATTTTAAGATAGAGTTCACTGAATATATGCATCTCAATACAAATAATTCTGTCATAGCAATGATTTACTTAATGGGTTCATAGACTTGAGGCAATGGGTCATCATGATTTCATCTTCAGTTTTATTTACCTCATGAAACTACAGGTTTAGTTTTTGATTCTTTTAAAGCTAGGACACTTAAAAAACTGTTGTGCATTTCAGATTTTTCTCTGGGAATATTATCAAAATTACTATACATTTCTCTTCATTTACAAGCAAAAACCCCAGCATTTTACTCTTGCCACATGAGCAGGTAGAAAGTATGGCTTAGGGGCACCTGGGTAGCTCAGTTGGTTAAGTGTTGACTCTTGATTTTGGCTCAGGTCATGATCTCATGGATCAAGGGTTCAAGCCCCACTGCGCTGACAATGTGGAGCCTGCTTAGGATTTTTTTCTCTCTCTCTTTCTCTCTCTCTGCCTATCCCCCATTTGTGCTCTCCTTTCTTGCTCTCTCAAAATCAGTAAACTTAAAAAAAAAAAAGTATAGCTTAAATAGTGGAATAAACCAACTGTAGAATAAGCCATCACTTTTGGGTCCTTGCTAAGATCCCTGCAAATTGAAACATGTATTTGGGGCGCCTGGGTGGCTCAGTTGGTTAAGCATCCCACTCTTGATTTTGGCTCAGGTCATGATCTCACAGTTCGTGAGATTGAGCCCCATATTGGGCTCTACGCTCTCAGCGCAGAGCCTGTTTGGGATTCTCTCTCTGCCCCTCCCCTGGTCTCTCTCTCTCTCTCTCTCTCTCTCAAAATACAAATAAATGAACATTAAAAAAAGTTGAAACATGTATTTGTCAAAATTCGGTTGATATCTACGTATGCTCTTTGTGTTTCCCTTGTTATTCCGAGTAGACAGTTTGTAGGCAGTCAGCCTTCCCGGGGCCCTGTGTTCCAGCGAGAAGTGGTTGGTGGGTATACCGTTGAGCCCCCTCTAACGGGCCTTCTCCATTTCACAGAAACCCTACATCTGATTTAACCTACTCTAGAAGATTATGGAAAATGCTAAGCGTTAAACCTCTTTTCTCTAGGGGCGCCTGGGTGGCTTAGTCGGTTAAGCGTCCGACTGTCACTTAGGTCATGATCTCGCGGTTCGTGGGTTCGAGCCCCGCGTCGGGCTCTGTGCTGACTGCCAGCTCAGAGCCTGGAGCCTGTTTCAGTCTGTGACTCCCTCTCTCTCTGACCCTCCCCTGCTCACGCTGTCTCTCTCTCTCCTAGAAATAAATAAAACATTTAAAAAAAAAAAAAAAAAAAAAACCTTTTCTCTAAATTTCTGCGTGACATAAATTATTTTTTAAAGTGTTTTTGTTGGTTTTAAAAATTGAGTATCTGAATTTTGCAGTGATACTCAGGCAGAGTTCTTATAGCTCCCTCCTACCATGTAGGACAGGCAGCGTTTGTGAAGGCTGTCATGTCCATCTGGAATAAATTGAGAGAGAATCTGGTCACTTCAGTGAGCATGACAGCATTTTGTAGATGGAACAGACAAAAAAAAGAACTGCCTAAGTTAGTTTGATGGTTATAATAACATCATAGTGGTAAGTGATGGAAGTAAATGAAACAAGAATTACGTAAAACTTGAGCTCATCTTTGAAATTACTTCTTTTTACTCAATATTGCTACCATTTCTATATTTTTATACTATTTATTCCAGTTTTTCTCTTTATGCCCCTCTAAGAAACAAAATAGGCTGAAATTATAATCAGTGTGGTAGAGTGAGGAGAAATTTTCATCTGGGTGAGTTGCATGCATCAGACCTGTTGTCCGGAGTTATTGAAGGCCCTGCTGACTGTGCTCCAGGGAAGGACTTGATTTACATTTTGCTCTGAGAATCTGTGAACAAAGGCTGAAAGGAGCTGGAGCAGGATGAGGGGTTCCAGTGCAGGGCGCCTAAACATCCGGGGTCCACCTCGATGCGCATCCCAGCAAATGCCTCTGTTACAGGGAGCTTCAGGAATCAAGTATCCCCTGGGACCAGGAGATCCTTTGTGGCTCCAAGCACTGGAAGCACCTAGCATGTCAGAGCCATAAAATAAACAAAGCAGGTGGGACAGGTGCCCTGGGCTGGAAGTATCCTCTCCCCGCCCTCGGGCTAGAAAATTTAGGTGGAGGAAAATGTGATGCATTAGCATCTCTTTAGAAGCTCTTAGTCTATTTAATGAAATGCTAACTCGTTTTCTTCTACTTCATGAAATACTAACTCCTTTCCTAAACACTTCTTTCTTACAGAATTACCCCATCAGTAGGATTTACAGGTTACGTGGTTGGCTCATGAATATATAGTTGTTGGTGACAGTAGGGTGGGTATCTTTGCAGCAGTAGAGTTAAGTGTAAAAGCAGCCAGGTTTGCTGCAGCAGGAACTATATGAAGTAGGAGGTCCCAGGGCAAGGGGAAGGCAGCATTTCTCTGTGCAGCCGGCTCCTACTCCGCAGACTTCCACTTGTTTGGCCTAGAACGTCCTCTTCCAGAGAGCCACATGGCTTCTTCCTCAGGTGTCCGCTCAGAAGTCCCCTTAGTGGGCGGCTTCGATCCCTGCAAGCAAACACCCTGCACTTGTCTCCCTTTCTCACTTGTACTGCCCTTCCCCACACAGCACCTCAAATACTCCTCGCACGTGCTTGTTGCCGTGTGCATGGTCCGTCTCCCCCTCCGAGAATGGGGTCCTTGTCCAGTCCACAATGGCCCGTACAGTGAGCTCAGTAAATATTCGAATGTATTTCCTTTAAATGAACACAAAGGAAAAATAAAAAGTTTCTGGAATTCTGAACTGCAAGTCGCCAACCCCCCGATAGTACTGTCAGTAGCCGATAGTGTAGCCACTTCAAGTAAATTTTTCTTCATGTAAAACCTATAATTCACATATTTCATTACACCATTAACCTGAATTATCCTTTCCATGCTGACTTTGCTTGGATCCTTTTTGAAATCAGTCTCTGGTCAGTTAAGCTCCTTTGAAATGAGTGTTCTTGAATATTTAACCCAAACTATCTGTAACATGCTATCTGTAAGAAAGACCTTCTGCTTCTTACTTTTCTGGAAGTTATGTGTTCTAGGTAGAATGGCAATTGTTTTCAAGAATAGAAATAAATCACATTGATTTCCAAAAGTTTTGTATTGTGGCCCATAATTCCCAGTGCATTTTAACCTTAAGAGAAGAGGTGATTATTAAGATTTGATGCCCTTCATCTCCTGTCCCAGAGAAAATAACACAGGTCCCCAGATTTCAAATGTGAACTGAAAGAATAAATGTTTTTTGGGGCACTTAAGTGGCTCAGTTGGTTAAGCAGCCAACTCTTGATTTCGGCTTAGGTCACAGTCTCACAGTTACTGAGTTTGAGCCCTGTGTCAGGCTCTGCACAAGAGCCTGCTTGGGATTCTCTCTCTCTCTTCCCCTCCCTATTCATGCTAGTGCATTCTCTCTCTCACAAAAATAAATAAAACATCTAAAAAAAAGGGGAGGGGAGAGAAAAAAAAAGAATAAATGTGTTTGAAAAGTCTGCTAAGTAGGGAGGAGCTGAACTTACTCTTTTTCTGCTTTCTTTCTAAAGAACTTTTTGATCTTCCATCCTCGATTATTAAGAAGAAAGTTCATTTCAGTGGGGAAAGTAAAGAGAATGTCATGAGGAGTGAGAATTCTGAGAGTCTGCTCACCTCCAAGTCCAAGTGCAAAGACCTGAAGAAGAGACTTCATGCTGCTCAGCTCCGCGCTCAAGCGTTGTCAGATATTGAAAAAAATTACCAGCTGAAAAGCAGACAGATTCTGGGCATGCGCTAGCCTCCCAGAGAGACCGAGCTGGGTCCCAGTGTTGAACCTTGCCTGCCCGTGAAAGCTGGATACTCACCTGCTGTAGCTTTACACCCTTGGTTCTGTGAGCCGCACCTTTTTGTACAGTGAGCCAGATTGTTTGGAATTGCTTTGGTGGTTCTTCTGCAACAATTGTACAAAATGCTCACGCCTTTCATTTTTCTTTTTTTTTCCTTTTTCTTTTGTAAAGAACATGTTATAGGAAGAATGACAGTTTCTTCATTGGTTGGGCTTTTAATCCTGTGTGTGATTACTACTGGAACGTGAAGCGTTAACATTCTAAATGTTGGAGGGAAATAATGTCAGGAAAGAAAAGTACTTAGCCAGGAGCAGTTTTGAACGACCTAGTAGGTGTGCTTACAGTGGTCGTGCCTAGATTCAAGGTTCTAAATGTTCCTCAGCTTTGAAAACCTAAGTGGATACACATTGGTCACTAATGCTGTGACATCTTGCTTGTAAGTATCCCATTGGTCTGCAGTGCAGATCTGTCACCTTTTGTGGAATTCATCACTGTGATGTCATCACTGTGATGTTCCTTTTTATCCTATTTAAGAGCGTGTGATCTGGCTGTCATTTACCTACCTGTTTCTCCACTAAATAAAAGAATTCTCTAGTTTTCCTATATTTATGTTTCTTGCATTTGTTGATCTCTTAGTTGAGGGAGTCTGTGTTTATGATCTGTAGGCACTGGCAGGAACACAAGCCACCATCAGTCTCCCGCTCAGTGGATTTTACTCTCTGTGATGTATTTTACTCCCCATCTCATTAGTCTGTCTAAGCCGGTAGTCCTCAAGGAGGGGTGAGTGCGCCCCTTCTTCCCACCGGGAGACCTTCGGCAGTGTGTGGACATGTACATTGTAATGATCAATGATCGTGGGGAGGGCACTACGTGCATCCAGTGGGCCTCCTACAATGCGCAGGACGGTGCCCGCCACAAGATGGCAGTAGTGCACTCTTGAGACGTCTGATCCAGGCTAGGGCTTGTTGAAACATACCCCATCCAGGAAGGAAACTTACTTTAGTTTTGAGGGATCTTTGTTTGTTTGTTTGTTTGTTTGTTTACGTGTCTGACTTTTAATATGAATTAGCAGTGTTTGCTGTGCCGCCACATTTTGCATGTAATGTTTTCCTAGTGATGCTAATCTTTTGACTGGATGGAATAAGACCGAATTGTGAAGGGTTAACAATGGGAAGAAACTGCTCCTGTATTATCAGTTATTTCATTGCAGGTTTATCACACAGTTGATAATGCAATTCCATCAAAGACAAATGATGATATTAAGACAATCAGAAGCTGATTTCCATGACTTTAGGGTAATCCCACAGACGATTCCCAACAGGGCCACTTTGATAAAAATGTTGAATATAATTTGCAGGGCCCAGTGTGAAATAAAAATGTAGGGCTCTTTGTTCAAAAACAGGAAACAAGTACTATTAAAAGTACGGGAAAAGCCTTGTCCTCTCTTCCAAGGTTTCTATCTGTTTATTGTGTTATTTGCTACTTAATGTTCTAAGTAAAGACAAACTTAAATTATTATGAGTTTTCTTTCACACTTCTCTTTTATATCGTGCCATGGAAGTTTTAAATGCAAATAGCACATTCCACATAAGTGTGGAATACTTGACATATGATTTGTATTCTGTGGCTTCTCCGGGAGGGCGCCCCAGGCTGAGCATAAGAGACACGCAGATCCCTGTCACTGGTATCTGGGGACCCCTGGCCCGTGCTTGCCAAGTTCCTTGTCCCTCCAGCCTCCAGACCTACCTATAGCCCAGCCAGGCATCTCCCCCTCAGGCCACTGCCCCAGCGTACGGCAGACAGGTCACTCCTGAGGATCTTTGCACCTCCAGGCTGGGATTTTCTCTGTAGCTGGATAAGGGTTCCTAGATGACCCCCTGTCAAGGCCATGAGCTGGTTGCCCACCTGGCATGCCGTGGGGCTGCGGGCCCAGGAAGGGAGAAGGGCATTGAGGAGAGATGCCTCAGCCACAGGCCCCCAGTCCTGACCTTTCCCTTGCGCACGTGCAGGCCCTTTCTGGGAGCAGAGTGTGGCAGTGGTTGTGGGGCACAGGCAGGGAGGGGAAGTCGGATGGGGCCTGGTGCACCCAGGGGCCAGGGAGTGGGGAGCGGGAGGCGGGACCTTGCAGGAACTGAGGCTCGGAGCCCCCACATACGTGCTATTGTGCCATCAGACGCACAAAATGTCCATTCAAAGATGCAGTTATTTAGCCCTGCAAGCACAGAGCTTCAAAACTCAGGTGCCAGGCCCCTCTGCAAACCAAGTCGTGCTGCTTGCGGGGCCTGTGTGTCTGTCTGCACTGGTCACACTCGTGAAAACAGCCCTTTCTTCAGGAAACTCCTTTCCTACCTTAGGAAAGAAAACTCTTTCCATTTTGAAATCAGTGACTATTTTTCCCCTTCTCAGACTCCACCTTCATCTTCATTCCTTCATTCAATCAACAAACAATTATTGGGCACCTGCCATGAGCCAGACACTGTTTAAGGTGCTGAAGATACAGCAATGAAGAAATACTGAAATCCTTGCCCTCGTGGTGATTCCTTTCAAGCAAAGAGGGAGGCTGTGGTAGGTTAGCTTTTAGGGGGAGCTGGAGGAAAAAAGGAAAGGCGTGCTTCCTGTTCTCCTCTAAAGCTGGGAACATCTCTGATGGCAGGAAGCGGGGAGTTCTCCCAAGTGATGTTTCTCCAGCATCTCTAAGACCCTTCTAAGATGTTTTGCGGGACACCAATCCCATACTCACCATTACAGACTTTCCATATTTAAACGATGAATTTTACCGAACCCAGCTTGCTCAACACGCATTGGCAAAAAAGGGTCATTGGACTGGAGGGAGATTAAGTAGCTGTTTGAGACAGCAACCACAAGGTGGCGCCACGGTTCTGTTAGACCAGAAGTCCCACACTTTGCCATGCAGCCTTTACAATTGGTTGTCACTGAGAGATTACAAGGCAAGCACTGGTTAGTTTTATTCCTGTTATTGCATCCAGTCCTCCCAACACCACATGAGAAATAGGCATCATGAGCGTCACACTTTACATGGGGAAACTGAAACTCAGAGAACACAGCGGGGAAGAGCCACAGCTAGCTTCTGAACTGTTTTTGACTCCAAAGCTCATGCTCTTGACTATAATCCTCCACTGCCTGCCTGCACAAGACAGCAAAAAGTTGGTTTTGTTCCCAAACCATCTCATTTCCCGTGATGATGGGTGGATGGTCATAGTCCATGGCTTTCTCCAAGACATTTGCATGACCGAGGAAGGGTGGGAAGGGAGCTGGCATGGTGAGGGTCCAATGGTCTTCCAGATCTGTGCGCTAGGCCAGATGGGTTAGTGTTAGGGGAGGGAGGCTGAGATGTGGTTTTCAAGTGACCCCAGTAAGACCCCAGGCCAAATGGCTTTAGACTAGTTTCCTTACCCCCTTTCCCCAGCATCTTCCATTCTTACTTTATTGCTCTCCATTGCTTCAAAATCGCAGCCTAGACACCCCAGTACACTTGCACTGCCCAGGTTCCTCTGCAGAACCACTGCACTCAGGACCCCGTCCTCCCCTGAGGTGTTTTACATTTCCAGATGACCTTCCTTCTTCCGGGACAGAGCCCATTCCTCTAGGCAAGCTGGCTCCCTCAAAGACTGGAGGTACATCTGCCACCTGCAGTGAACTGGGGGTGAATGTAAAAGGTGACACAAGGTAGCTGTTTAAAAAAGAATGAAGAGACTTTATATGTCTCAACAAGAGGGGATTATTGCTCATTGCGACTTGGTGGCTGGGAAATGGGGATCCATATTGGATGGATGGCTTTCGCAGCAAGGAGGATGAAGACAGCAGCCCTCACCAAGGGACCTGCGTGCTGCTGGCCTGCTCACGGAGTCTGGGTGTGTGAGGCCAGCCTTCACCAGAACCCTGTCTCTCTTTGCCCCTCCCCCACCCACGGAGGAGCCCAGGGCAGCTGCTTGGAGCCTCCTACATCTAAAAGGTTGGGCTCCACGCCACATTCAGAGGGACCGATAGGGGCACCCTTGCATATTTCACAGAGGCTCCTCGCCTGCATGTCTCTCGTCACAACCACAGCAACTCTGCTTGAGCTGCTGACACCCCAGACATCGCAGGCTGCCCATCTCTGGACTCCTATGACCAGCCAGCCAGGAAGAAAATGTCCCCTCCTCCCACCTGCTCTGACTTTCTCTGAGGCAACACACTGGCCCTTTTGATGCAATGAGGTGTTCTGTAATCTTAGTCGCACATTCATAGAAAATGTTCACAGTGGCCGACTTTATTCTTTACAGTGAAAAAAAATCAGTCTTTCCTTAAATTATGAAGTGATAACATCAATGTAAAAATTCTCATAGTATGAAAAAATATGTTGTAAAATTTAAGCAGTAAAAGTTCCATCACCCATAACCTTACTTTCTCTCTCTCTTTCCAGAAGTACCTGTTACAATTTGGTGTTTAGTGCTTCCTTTTAGACGTGTGTGTGTGTGTGTGTGTGTGTGTGTGTGTGTGGTATGGGGCAATGAGGTGAGATGTCTGTGTATGAGGGTCTGTGGTGTGTGTATGTCTACAGGTATGGACATGTGACACATCTGAATATGTGTATATTTTTAAGTTTATCATTTTAGTCCTTTTTTAAAGTTTATCCATTTACTTTGAGAGAGAGAGTGCATGCATGCATGTGTGAGCAGGGAGGGGCAGAGAAAGAGGGAGAGAGAGAATCCTAAGCAGTCCTAAGCACTGACAGTGCAGAGCCCAATAAGGGGCTCGAACTCACGAACCATGAGATCATGACATGTGAGCCAAAATCAAGAGTCAGATGCTCAACCAACTAAGCCACCCAGGCACCCCTGAATATGTGTTTTTAAAACACATAAATTGGACCTTAATACATATACTGCTTTTCAATTTGCTTTTTTTCAATTAAAAATTATTTTGTCTTTTTGGGACATATAAATTCTCTTCATTCTTAAAGAGCTGTCTCGTGTCATCGTCTGCTTTCCTCTGAAATTCGCCCTAGGAGGGCAGGCTCACTTTGGTCTTTGAGGGCACTAGCCTGCTGTAGCGCCTGCCATGTGGGGACGCACCCCCTGCCTAACGCACTTAGGGCCCTGTGGGTGAGGCAGACGCACGCCACTGAAACACACACACTCCCACAAAGCAGTTCGCCTGCTCCACGCACGGAATCACAGGCTGCAGCTCTGACCTCAAGAACCTTCATGGTCAATTAACTGGGGAAACAGTGGACCCAGCATGAGCACACCTCCCGACATGTATTGGGCTGCTGGGCAAATCCCCATAATGCCTGTGGAGAGTTCTAGGGCCCAGTACAAATCTAATAGGAACCTCTCCTCTGCTCCCTCTCTGCATAGTGTTGGCCCACCTGCCACGTCCACGGCGAGTCATGTCCAAGTGCTTCCTGCTGGGGGCCGAACTCCAAACACAGAGAGCTGAGATGCCTGACGTGGACACTCGGCAGTTGCCCTGCCCTCGGCTTGTGTCTTGAACCTCCCTGAGCTTTCCTTGTTCTCATCTGGAGAAAAGAGTCTGGGATCCTGGTGAAGACTGGGTAGCGCAAATTGTGGTCAGGGATGTACAGCTGTAGCTGCCTGTGAATTTCTTCCACCTGGCCTCAGAAAACATTTAAGGTGGCTTATAAGAAAAGATGGGTTTTAGTGAATTGCAGGTATTAAAAGTAAGGGGGAAGGATGGAGGCAGGAATGAGTCACACATGAGGATCGTACATAACTACACACTTAGTGTTGTTGGGCCACAAATTTGACTTCAAGCTTCCCAGCAGCCAAAGCAAACAGGGGGAAGTGCTTAGTTATCCCCTCAAGGCTCCTCAGATAAAGGCAGATGTCTGTTTGCACAGGAGGTAGGGAACTGCCTGGGTGCTATGTTGAGAGCAGCTCTCCTTTCCACCCTTACAAAGAGGGCACTACTGTGCGAGGGACACCCACCTACGGGCCATCTCTGCAGCACGTGCAACACCGAGGCCTGGAGTGCTTTCTCCCCTCCCTCTGCATAGACTGTGGGCACCTCCCAACGCAAGTCAGCAAAAGCTACTGTAACTGGGAGAGTTGTTTTTGAAATACGTTGGTGTGTTTCCCTCTTTCACAGCTCTGTATCTTTGCCTCTTCCTTTCCCCACCCCTGCCTCTGAGGAATAAACCTCAGGAAGATGAGGGTCA